TTATTATTATTATTATTATTATTATTATTATTATTATTACTTCCCCCCTCTTCATTCCCTCCTTTTTATTTCTGCAGTGATGGTAGAGCCGCAGACGGCGGTGCGTGTATATGCCGGCAGTTCCCCGTCGCTCTCGCTCGCTAACATGATTGGGCACAAACGCACTGAACAGTTTACGAATGAAGTCGGTGGACACGCCGGACTCCTGCGGCTCCTCAACGTCCACTGTGAGGATTCCCCAATAGGGCCCAGTACTAGAAATATTACTCCTACTAGTAATAATAATAATAATAATAATAATAATAATAATAATAATAATAATAATAATAATAATAGTGGTGGTCTGACGGTTGGGGATGCTGGTGTTTGTGTTGGAATGCGAGGCGGTGTGTTGGCCACAAGTGTACGGGAACGTCAAGATATTTATGGTGCCAATAGACTTCCACGTATAAAAAATAAAAGTGTTTGGCATTTTGCAAAAGAGTCTGTGGAGGAGGATAGAATACTGCAACTACTAATTGCTTCAGCAATTCTCTCCATCATCCTTGGCCTCACTACACCAGATTACAGAGAGGGGAAAGTAGATGTGAGTACGGGATGGGTGGAGGGAGCTGCGATATTTGTTTCTGTATTCATTGTGGTAACATTAAGTGCATTAAATAATTATAAAAAACAAGAACAGTTTTCTCGTGTGGTGGAACGTGAAGATCAAACACGTCGTCGTATTCTTGTATGGCGATATGAGATGGAATCTGGTTCTAATAAAACTGTACTGAAGGCAATGGAAATTCGAAGTGAAGATATTGTAGTAGGAGATGTTGTACAAATATCTCCAGGAATGGAACTCTCTTTTGATGCTATTTTATTTGATAATCGACATGTTGTATGTGATGAGTGTAATGTAACAGGAGAAAGTGAAGAAGTGATAAAGGATTTACATAATGATCCTTTTCTTATTAGTGGTTCTAGTATACTAGATGGATCATCTGATGCCGTGGCAGTTGTGTGCGCTGTTGGAGAAAATAGTTTCTCTGGAGAAATTGCCATGACCATTCAAGAAACAGAAAAGAAAAATACACCTTTACAAGATCAACTGGAAGTAATGGCAGAACGTATCGGAAAATTTGGTTTAGCCGCAGCTATTTTAACCTTTGTAGCACTCTTCTTAAAGGAAACATACTTTGTCATAGTGTATGGAAGTCCATTTTTTGCTATGAAATTCTTTGAAAATCTTACTACTGCTATTGCTATTGTTGTGGTAGCTGTACCTGAGGGATTACCACTTTCTGTAGCGATTTCACTTGCATACTCTATGCGAAGAATGTTACAAGATGGAAATCTTGTTCGACATTTAGCCGCTTGTGAAACCATGGGAGGAGCTACAGTATTTTGTACAGATAAAACAGGAACTATTACATGTCCTAATATGAAATTAACTTGTGTTTACTATGAAGGTCATAGTTATGAACGAAAAGATGATCATCGTAGTGGAATTCGTCATGGATCAGATGTTTTATTAACACCTTCTTCCATGAAGTCGGCGATGAAATTAATGGAGTGTATATCGGCAAATGCATTAGATCCTGAATTAGGTCGACCACGTAATAAAACGGCTGAAGCATTAATGCAAGTAGAATCTAATATTTCTCTTATGGATGAAAAAGGATATTTTTCTTCTTTTTCCTATGATGTCAATCCTTTATTAACAGTTATGCGTAATACATCACTTTGTACTCGTTTTCCATTTAGTTCACTTCAAAAAATGAGTACAACTGTCATTAAACTTCAAAATGGTGTATTACGTGAATATGTAAGTGGTGCCCCTGAAATTGTACTTAATAAATGTCAAAATATTGTCATTGGAGATGAAATTTTTGAACCTTTAACAATAGAGCGTCGTTCTATTTTAGATAATGTGTTACGTTCCTATGCTCAAGCAGGATTACGTACGGTTTGTTGTGCTTATGGAGATATGATGTCTACAGGACCTGATATGCCGCTTATACCACCTAATACTCCATTAAATTTCTTAGCTTTTATTGCATTAGAAGAAGTGATTCGTCCAGAAGTACCAAGATCTATTGAAGCCTGTTCTCGAGCTGGATTACGAGTTATTATGATTACAGGTGATGCTGTTCTTACCGCTATTAATATTGCTTATAGATGTGGTTTAATGAAAGTTTTAGATAATTTTGAAAATTGTATCTCTCCAGAAAATCAAAGATACCCTTCATCTTCTACTGCAGAAATATTAATAAAAGATGGATATGTCATGGATGGATCCCTTTTTCGTAATTTATCTGATGAAGATTTACTTAATCGTTATATAGGAAGAATATGTGTTTTAGCTCGAGCTACACCTTTAGATAAGAAACGAGTATTACAACTTTTAAAACGATATGATCCTTTAGCTGTTGTCGCGGTAACAGGTGATGGTACAAATGATGCTCCAGCGTTAAAATTAAGTGATGTTGGATTTGCCATGAATAGTGGAAGTGATGTCGCTAAACGAGCTTCAGATATTGTACTCTTAAATGATAATTTTGCTGGTATGGTAAAAGCTACTATGTGGGGTCGTAATGTAAAGGATAATATTCGTAAATTTTTACAATTTCAACTCACAGTGAATTTTGTAGCTTGTATTGTTTCTTTCTTTGGTGCTCTTATGAATGAACAAAATCTTTCACCATTAAAACCGGTACAGTTACTATGGATTAATCTTATTATGGATACATTAGCGGCTTTAGCATTGGCAACAGAGTTACCATCGGAGTCTACACTTCTTTCACGGCCTCCGGAGTCACGTGATGCACCTGTGATTCTTCCTATTATGTGGTTTCAAGTCTTTACACAAGGTAGTTTTCAATTAATCTCACAATTATATTTTCTAGCGGCTGGTCATCGATTTTTTCGTGTGGAAAGTCATTCCGATCGTTCCTCCTCATCTACTCAACATTATCCATTTATAGAGTATTTTGGATCAAAACATCTTTGTATTACATTTAATATATTTGTACTACTGCAGGTGATGAATTTCTTTAATGCTCGATTATTGGATCGAAATGAAAAATTTTTCGGACGATGGGGAGATAGTGCACCTTTATTTATTATTGTTTCCACCATTGTATTTTTACAAATTTGTATCGTTCAATATGGTGGACGATTCATGTCAACAGTTCCATTAAACTTTCATGAATGGATGTTTTGTATATTGTATGCGAGTGGAAGTCTTTTTGTAGGAGCCCTCTCACGATGGTGGTGGTGGAACTTTGGGGCTTCTACTGGTTTACGGGATGGTGTTTGGTCCATGGGAAGACGGTGGGGTAGACTTCGCGGTGAGTGGAGTAAAATGAGTGGAGAGAAGTGCAGAGATTAAACACACAAGCAAAAGGGAGAAAGAGAAAAAAAAAAAAAAGGAAACCGTAAAGGAGAGAAGAGATAAGAAATAAGTAGTGTTGGTGGTGGTGATTGGAATATTAAGGACGTATTTATTGATAATAACTGCAAAGAATATCTATATATATATATATATATATATATATCTATATATATGAGATAGAGAGAGAGAGAAAAATAAAGAAAGAGTGGATAAGGGATACAATCCAATACACATCTAAACTGGAGAAAAGATAAAATAACAACAATAAATAAACAAATAGGAAGGATATAATAAGAAGGAAAATATGTTTTTTTTGTTGTTGTTGTTGTTGTTGTTTTGTCGACGGGAAGGTTGTATAAATCATCAGGGAAATGTATCATTTTTTTTTTCTCCTACTCTCTAACACGCCTATATATATATATATATATATATATATATATATATATATATATATACATATATGTATATATTTATTCATTTATGTGCATCTTTCTTTCTTGTTGAAAATTGATGATGAGGAATGTTCACTACGTTTTTCTTTTCGATAATTCTGGAACGGATTGGTAGTTCCATGGTTCTTGTTTCTACATTGTAGATGTGATTATGTTTATGTGTGTGTTTATTACTCGCAACGACGCTGATAGCAATTTTTTTTTGTTTTCTTAAGATATATCCCTTCACACAAATGGAGTTCTCTTGATGATTTGTTTCTCACACCTATCTGTATGAGCTGTCATTATTATATATATATTTAATCTACAGACATGGGGAGAAAGAGAGTGGGAGAGAACGAAAGAAAAAAGAATGAATTGATTGGTTATTAGTGGGGGTTTAGTATTTTTTCCTACTGGAATGCATTTATGTCTAATTATTTTTTTTTTGTTTGTTTCCTTTATTATTATTTATTTATTTATTTTTTTTTTTTTTTTTTTATTATCTTTTTTTTTTTTCTTCTTTGCAAGTCGCAACTCGGTAAGGGCGACCACGCGAAGTAAGACGGGCTGAGGAAAGACAAGCACCAGAAAGTGTAAAGGAAGAAATACTACAAGGTAAATTAAACAGAAATTCATCCCATAGGAAGTGATAGCATCACATATTATTAGTTTTCTTTCTTTTTATTTTTTTTTTTTCTTTCTTTTACTGTAGTTCTACAGATCCCTATATTCCTTATTTTACAAAAAGAGAGAGAGAGAGGGATTCATTTACGAGGAAGGAAAAAAGAAAAAAAAAAGAAGAAAAACAAAAGGAGCTGAATGCATAATCTTGTGCAGCAACGTCCTGCCATTTTGGCAAGCAACAATGACTCAGACAACGTGTTATCGACAAAGCTGTTGAATACATGCGGAACTACAAATATGATGAATGGCACTCACAACAGTATGGATTCACTTAATTCAACAGGTGTTGCCCAACTTGTAAATGTACCAAAAACAGCGGACAATGATGCTGATCTCGGACCCATCACATCACTCTTTACTACATTTGATGTGGAAAATACCACTAATGGTGTTTGTATGGAAGATGGATCTTCTCAATCTCTTCCTCCTCCTCCTGTGGTTGGGGCTACCAAAAGTATGCGGAGTACAACTGCCGTTAATGGTGTTCCTGTCGGAGCTGGTGTAAGTGTGGAAAGTTGTCCTTTTCCCGTTACAGGTAATGCAATGCGAGTACAAAAAGGTAATCACTCTGCTAATATAAGTTCCTCTTCATTTCCATGGCACTCTGAGGATAATATAATGAAACCATTAGGGTATAGACCTTGGCAAGAACGAGAACGAAGTTTCACTACGCAACAATCCATCTCCCAATCTCAGTTATCACGTATGCATTCAAGTTACCCAGCCTTTAAGAGTACACCCTTCTTTGATGCCTTTGATAGTAAATCCATGATGAGTGCTTCTAGACAAAGAGCAGTTTCCACATCAACCAACTTTGGAAGAATACAACATGATCCATATACATATAATTCAGGAAGAACTACACCTGCTTCTATGAGTGGTGTCTTAAGGGCACAAAGTGCGGCAACTTCACAATCTATGTTATATCCAGTTGTTGTGCAAACCGATACGGAAGTGGATAGTAATATCACAGTGGCTGTTATGCAAAAGGTACCACGACAGACGGGAGCCCCATTTAGAATGAGTCCAAGACAACTCAGTACTGTCATTCCAACTCTCTCTCCTCAACGTTTTGGATCCATCAGTTTGGAAACACCACGACGTACCTCTGTAACGGCACACATGTCTACTACAAGTGTGAATGTATTACCTTTAGATCGTGTTACATTGAGAGATGATCTCATGCGTCCTGTTTCCACCTCCAATACACCATTGTCTACCACAAGAGAAAAATGGCAAGTCCCTGGAGAGGAATCACGTGATCTTTCATTTCCCAGAGTGCGGTCTTACTCCCCACAGTCTACCCTTACTACTGCATCCTCTGGTTTGGAGGAGGTTCACAAGGGGTTTGATATAAAGCAGGAAGAGAAGGAAGAGGAGGAGAAAAAAGAAGAAGAAAAAGAAAAAGAAGGGAAAGTGGAATTACAACAAGAGAAGGAAAAGGAATATCAAGAAAAAATTTCGCAAAATGATGAAAATCTTCGGGTTGTGGTTGTGAAGGGAAAGTATCAACGACAAAACTTCGTTACAGACATCACAACAGTGTCAGTGGGAGCGTTAGTGATTGTAGAAGGTGATCGTGGAGAAGATATTGGTACTGTTGAATGTATTGAAAGCATGGAATACTTCAAAAGTAAAAACGCTAATATTGAGATTCAGTTGAAAAAGAAAATGGAAGTTGCGAACCGTAGCAGAAGTAGTAGTACCAGTAGTAACAAGAGCATCAACAGTAGCAATAATAATAATAACAACAACAATAAGAAGAGTAACATCCCTAGTCCTAATAATAACTACGATGGACATAAACCTGGGAATACGGGTGAAAATATCCCTTCACCAGTTTCACCCAATAACCACAACAAGACTAACGGCAAGAAACGCAAGAACATCAAGGAATCCCACTCTCCACAATCTCCAAAAGCTCAAGAAGCTGAAAAAACTCTATCCAACCCATTCTCTCTTCCACGTGTGTGTCGTCTCGCGACGGAGGACGATCGCACCGCAATGGCCTCCCTCCGCTCATCAGAGGAGGCGGTGTTGCCGGAAGTTTGCCGCATCGTCTACCGCTTCGCCCCTGCAGAGAAAGTCGTCGTGGACGATGTGGAATATCAATTGGACCGCCAAAAGATCACCGTTTACGTGCGAAGAGAAAGTACAGACGTGTTTGTGAACTTCCGCCGTATGCAGCGACGATTGCATCGACTGCTAAAGTGCCGTATTTGGCTGGCATACATGGATGAGGTGGAGACCGGCCGGTGTGCGGAGAAATAACCGGCGGATCGTGTTCACTGAGAGAGAAAAATGGAATGAGAGTACGCTACACTTTACCCTCACACACAGAAGGAAAGAAAGAAAGAAAGAAAGCGAGAATACATAAATATAGCTGTGGGTTTCCAGAGGGAATTCAAAGAAAAGTTTTGTGATGATTATGGAGGATTAACAGATGTGAGTTTAGCACTTTTTTAGTACTATATACATATATATATATATATATATATATATATA